TCACGGGCATTCAATGTTGGTTTTCGCCTTGTCGCCACGTGCAGTGATTTCTCCAGATTCTCTGAACCTTTTGACGATATTACGGACCGTAGATGATGAAATCCCTAAATTTCTTGCAATAGCTCGTTGAGGAATGTTGTTTTAAAACTGTTCGACAATCAGCTCACGATTTGTTCACTAAGTGGTGACCCTCGCCCCATCCTTGTTTGTGAATGACTGAGCATTTCAGGGAAGCTGCTTTTTATACCCAATCATGGCACCCACCTGTTCCCAATTAGCCCGTTCACCTGTGGGATGTTCCAAATAAGTGTTTGATGAGCATTCCTCAACTCTCTCAGTCTTTTTTGCCACTTGTGCCAGCTTTTTTGAAACATGTTGCAGGCATCAAATTCCAAATGAGCTAATATTTGCAAAAAATTACAAAGTTTACCTGTTCGAACATTAAGTAACTTGTCTTTGCAGTGTATTCAATTGAATATAGGTTGAAAAGGATTTTCAAATCATTGTATTCTGTTTTTATTTACGATTTACACAACGTGCCAACTTCACTGGTTTTGGGTTTGTACTTTCCATAACCCAAACCAATCTCACTTCTCATGCCTAAAACTAACCAACCCAAACAACAAAAGCAACAAGCACTAAACAATCAGAGGCAGGACAGCGAGTCATGACTTCACCATTCTAGGGAAAAAAAACTTGCCAACCTGGACGACACATCCCTGTCTTGAACTTCTTCTTTCCCTATCCCTGATCATAGGTTATCAGGACATTCCTTACCACCTAAAATGAACTTTCTTGCACCCCCGTTTGCTCAGCATTGTACAGATATTGAACGCTGCCAGTGAACGTTCTCTGTAGCCTACTTTACCTTGTACTTTTTAAACCTTTGCCTCAAGGGCATCATAGTTGCCCACCCCCTCTTCTAGTGTGCAGGATCCAATTAGCCTTCATTTTGTACTTGTTCTTGTCTAAGTCTGTTGGATTGTTTTTAGTTGGTATGATAATTACACGTCAGGTGATGGTGGAAGGCTTTGGTCTGTAACAGACATCAAGAGCTATTTAAGTAGCATTCAATTAACTCAGAGAGGCAAATGCAGAATTAATTTAGGTCTAAGATTGGGAAATGACATGATCTTTTAAAGGGTACCTACAGAGCATTTATATTTGAATAATTATTGTTTTCCCATCAAAAAACAAACTAGTCGAGTACATCACAACAACTTTTAAAAGCCCAACAATGTAATGTATGTCAACTAATTGTTCAGTAGCTCAGCTGAAATTTTGTGTGAGGGGCTGAGGCGCCATGATGTGGAAGCTGGTGAGATCTGCGAGCTGCATTGGAACTCTCCAGTATTCAGGTTCACAGCCTTGAACATCACAACAATGGATTTGTTTACATCCAAAACTGGCGAAGATACACTATGGGCCAAAGCATTACGAACACCCTGCATTTTTTTACAAAAGAATTTGGCTGGTTTTTGTCGTCTTATAGTTAATTTTGAGCAACAACGGCACACAAAATGCCAAAAGGACACTTGTATTGACTAAAAATGTTGCTTGCTAACAACTGTACATCTTGAAATTCAATTTTCAACATGTATTCCTCCTTAGCTTGGATTAGAGCCTCTCAGACATGGGTAAATAGCTTTGTCAATAATAGCTTTTTTGTAAAACTTGTTAGTCAACTGTTAGGACTTTGTTGTTAGCAAACCTTGACACCAGCATACTTTGCCCTCTGGGCAGACTTGTTGGTCAGAACTTTGTGCTTCAGCAGAACAATGAACTCAAGCACTCCTCCAAGCTGTGCCAAAGATATCTTTAAAAAAGGAAGAAGCAGGAGTGTTTCAGAAGATGGTGTGGCCCCCACAGTCACCAGATTTGTCAGCCATTGAGTTGCTGTAGGATAAACTTGACCGAGCAGTCAAAGAAGTACGCCCACCAAGTTCAAAAGAGATCATGAAGGAACTCTTGAAAGCCTGGAATGAATTACCAGGAAGTTGCTTAAACTGCTGGAAGGAATGCCTCGGATGTCGGGCTATAATCAAGGCTAAGGGAGGGTACTTTGTAGAAAGTAAAATTTGAATATGTATATCTCTTAGCAACTAATTTTGCACATTTCTAGTTAGATATGAAGACCACAAAGGAAAAACGATCGGAGTCCAAATTTTGCATTTTTGTATACTTTATATACTATTATAATATTTATAATAATATATAATAATATTATATATTATTATAATATTTATAATAATATTATACAGTATATTATTATACTTTTTTTTTTTTGCATATTTTTTCAGTGCTTTGTTTCTAAGATTGTTTTGAATTTTTAATTCATCACCTCTCCACAACGTGAAAATGTGACTCTGACCATTTTTCCATTGTGGTCTTTCATATGTGCTTTGCTGTCATTCTGTTTTTTTTTTTGTTTTTGCTGAAAATATACTTGAAGTCAAGAAAAAACACCCAAATTTTGAAAAATGCAGGGTATTCGTAATATTTTGGCCTGGTTTTTGGAATATTTTTGCCTGTGGCGTATGAAAACTTTTGATGAGTATCCTGGTGATTATGGCTGTCTGTATGAACCAGAACAATTAAAGAGCCTAATGCTAAAATTTCTTTCGTCACATTTTCACACACCATGAGTTAAGGATGGGAAAACATCTTTCATAGTTACCATTGTTGATTTTCTTAATGTCCGCAAAATGGAAGTTTCGTGACTTAAGTACTTTTAGCACTGGGGGGTTTTCAATTAGCCAATCTTGTGGATCTATTATATATTCAGACCCCTTTTTTTCTTTTTCTCAAAGTAGACATTTTGAGACTTAAGTACAACCCCAATTCCAAAATAGTTGGGACAAAGTGTAAATTGTGAATAAAATCAAAACCCAATGACCTTCAAATCACACCAGCCAGTATTTTATTCACAATAGAACAGAGATAAAATAGCAAATGTTGAAACTGACAAATTTTACAATTTTATCCACAAAATGAGCTCATTTCAAATTTGATGGCTGCTACAGGTCTCAAAAAAGTTGAGACAGGGGCCTGTTTACCATGGTGTAGCATCCCCTCTTCTTTTTAACACAGAGTGGAGGCGTCTGGGAATTGGGGAGACAAGTTTCTTGAGTTTAGCCATTGGAATTTGATGCCACTCTTGTTTAATACAGGCTTCCAGCTGCTGGAGAGTTTTGGGTCTCCTTTGATGGACTTTTTGTTTAATTATGCGCCAAATGTTCTCAATCGGTGAAAGACCAGGACTGCAGGCAGGCCAGTTCAGCAGAAGGACTCTTCTACTACGAAGCCATGCTGTTGTAATAGCTGCAGTATGTGGTTTTGCATTGTCCTGCTGAAATACACAAGGCCTTCCCTGGAATAGATGTTGTCTGTAGGGGAGCATTTGTTGCTCTAAAACCTTTATATACCTTTCAGCATTCATGGTGCTTTTTAAAACATGCAAGTCTCCCACACCATATGCACTAATGCATCCCCGTACCATCAGAGATGCTGGCTTTTGAACTGAACGCTGATAACAGGAGGGGTGGTCTTTCTCCTCTTTAGCCCAGAGGACACAACGCCCATGATTTCCAACAAGAATGTGAAATTTGGACTTGTCTGACCACAGGACACTTTGTCACTTTGCTACAGTCAATTTTAAATGAGCCTTGGCCCACAGAACACGGCGGCGCTTCTGGATCATGCTCATTAATGGCTTCCTTTTTGCATGATAGAGTTTTAGGTGGCATCTGTGGATGGTATGGTGGACTGTGTTTACAGACAGTGGTTTCTTGAAGTATTCCTGGGCCCATTTAGTAATGTCAATGACAGAATCATGCCATGCATCATGGGCATCCAGTAAAGGTCTTCGGCCTTCTCCCTTACGAACAGAGATTTTTCCAGTTTCTCTGAATCTTTTGAGGATGTTATGCACTGTCGATGATGAGACCTTCAAAGCTTTTGCAATTTGACATTGAGGAACATTGTTCTTAAAGTATTCCACAATTTTTTTTACGCAAGCCTTCACAGGTTGGAGAGCCTCTGGCCATCTTTACTTCTGAGAGACTCAGCCTCTCTAAGACATCCCTTTTATAGCCTTTTATATCATGTTACACACCTGATGCCAGTTAACTTAATTACTTGCTAAATGTTCTTTCAGCTGATTCTCTTATATATTAATAGCTTTTTCAGCCCTTTTTTTTGCCTGTGTCCCAACTTTTTTGGGAGCTGTTGCAGCCAGAAAATTTGAAATAAGCTCACTTTGTGGATAAAAATGTAAAATGTCTCAGTTTCAACATTTGAAATGTTATCTATACTCTATTATAAAAAGCATATTGGCTCATGTGATCTGAAAGTCATTGCATTTTAATTTTATTCACAATTTACACAGATTCAGATTCCAGATTCAGATTCAGATGATTTTATTGTCATTGTTACAGAGTAACAACAAAATTAAGTTTGGAGAGAAAGTGCTCCGGGCTGCTGCAACGTGCGTCGCGCTGCCAACTCCACTTTCTTCTTCGAAATTAAAGGTTGCATAGTAGTAATAGTTGTCCCAACTATTTCGGAATTGGGGTTGTACTTCTAGCACCAGGGTCTTCAATTGGATTACCCACATTTGGGAAAAGATTGAGAGAGTAGTGTGTACAGAGAAGAGAACATAGCCAAAAACATAGCCTGTAGGGCAGAGCCTGGAATCAACTGGAAGATTCCACACAGTCACAGAATTGAGGGCCTGAGGCCTGTCGTGGTGGTTTTTTGTAATGACTACTAGCCCATGTTATACCATCTTCCATGCATTTCACAGTGATTCTAAACTCCAAACAAAGTTTTGGCTCCTTGTTGGTTATTTTGAGCAGGACATTGCCAATACTGGGTGTAACCTTAAATGCAGTAATCTGTGTAAAATCCAGCTGGCCTATCTACACCATTTTTCATATGTATAGTAAAATATCCAAATTTCAAGATAATTGGCAGTTTTTATTGCAATTAATGTGGGCTCAGGAGGTGGCTCAGGGTCAGGAGGTAGGTCTAGGAATCAGGAGGTTCCTGGTTCGATCCCTGGCTCCTCCAGAGAATGTGTCGAAGTGTCCTTGAGCAAGACACTGAACTCCACACTGCTCCTGATGTGCAGGTTGGCGCCATGCATGGCAGCCTCTGCCATCAGGGTGAATGAGAGGCATAATTGTAAAACACATTGTGTCGTCTGTCTAGAATAGCGCAATAAGTTACCGTAAGTTGTTGACCCCACACTGCTCCAACAGAGCCATCAGGTACCACAGCCGAGGAGGATATTTGTAAAGAGACACTATCCTTTACCACAAGAGAATGAAAGGCTTACTACTTCCATACTACTCCCCACAGAAAACCCACATGGGGTGTCTTTCTTGAGTGGGGCAGTTGGAGGAGGAGAGGTACTTGTGTTAGCTCTAGTTTAGCCTGGTTGCCATTAGTTGCATCAGGCAGCAAGGGGATGTTGTTTTTGCACTGCGCATCCACAGTTTTCCCTGGTGATTCTTCTCCATGAGACTTGGCCCTGGCTTCCAAGGCGACACATTTCAATCCAAGGATGTAATGGGGAAACACACGTAGCAACAGTGAGGCTGCCTCAGTCAGGAGGGACCCATCCCTGGCCTGTCAGACAATCAAATGAGGTAATCCCATTGCTAATAATTACATATTATTAAATCATTAGTCAATGCATTTTAAAACATGCAAGACAGTCAATGAACACAATAAAAATGTCAGACAATTCTGACCACAGGACTGCATTTTTCCTGACGTCTCCTTGCTCGTTTTCACTAACTGATGACGTGGTACATGTTATTGTAGTTCAAACAGCACACTACATATCCAACCCCAAGAGGTGGCAGATAAAACACAAAAGTTGGTGAAACAGATATCACTGGCCCTTCAGATACCAAGTTGCAAACCCCCCTGAAAGAATTACTTTTATGTTTGTTAAATAGGGGCACAGGCCAATGATGGGAATTCCAGCTCTTTTAGGTGAGCCAGATCATTTGGCTCAGCTTAACAGTACGAGCTGGCTTCTGTGGCTCCCAAATGGCTCTTCATTTAGTTTCACTTCTGGTTATCATAATTCAGCCAAATTTCACAAAGTTTTGACGTATTGGTATATGAACACATTCGTCACAAATCATTCAAAAAAATAATATGAAACCTTATAATTTTTAGAATACCACTATTTCACATAATGTTTGATATAAAAACATTAATGTAAAAAAAAAAAATCACATTGCACGTGTATTGAACGTTTTATTTATATTGAAAGTTGTAAATTAGTATTTCGCAAGAAACACTGAACACAGTACATCTGGTCCTTGTGCTGAAATGCATGTTGCAATTCTAATCCTACTGTGATGTCTAAAGCAAATGAAATTAATTAAAAAATAAACTATGCAAAACAAAAACCATCCCAAACAAATGACATTATGAATGGAACATGGTGTGCCTTGCTTGCCTTTTTTCTTCAAACTGCACTGTTGGATGTTCAGTTCGAATATGACTCTGAAGGTTGCTAGTTGACCCAGCTGGATATGATGGTCTTATTTTACAAATTATACATTCTGTCTTTGTGTTGTCTATGTTATTAAAATGCATTCAAATGCTACTTTGTTTGCGACAATCACTCATCTAGTTTTGAGAGTGGCAGAAAGATCATCCGAGTAATCTGTCTTCTATTAATTAAAAAAAAATTAATACGGCTTCGAGATGGGAGCCAGCTCTCATTATTCACATAAAGGAGCCTGCTAATAAAGCCGACTTGTTTGCAACCGACGTATCACTAGGAGGTGGCACGGTAGTACACTGGGTAGAACTGCTGTGTCATAGCAAGAAAGACTCAAGTTTCCTTGAAATAATCCCTCTAAGGTTCTGCTGGTGTAATATTCTCAAGGCTCATCAATGTAAGTTTTTAAAGCAAATTTTGCCATAAGTTTTCTGCTCCCTCTGCTCACAATACTCCTAATCATAATGGCACGTCATAATTTTTATAGTACATGCCAGTCCGTCCTTGATGATATTGCCCCTTTCAAGAGGAAATGTCCGAAAACCTAATGTCCAATCCTGACTTAATGATTTTACATGGGATTTAAAGAAGCAACATAGGAAAGCGAAGGGAAAATGGGAAAAAGATAAACTCGCAATATCTCAAGATATTCTTAAAAGCTTGATATTGGCCCACCAGCGAGCAGTGACAGAAACAAGACATACATATTTTTCAAATTTAATTGCACGGAGTGGCAACAACCCCAGGATTTTATTGCGGAGGGGGTCAACCCTCCTCCTAACAGACATTGAAACGCATCCCATGACATATTTCAGCAGTTTCTGAAATATTTAGTATTATTTAGAATTAAATATATAGTATTTTGTAAATAGATGAGATCAGGTTGAATATCTCACCAGGGACCAGAGAGCTCCTTATCTACGCTGAATCTTCAGGTATTTTATCTCAGTTTTTGCTAATTTCACTGTTCGAATTCGACAAGTTTGTCACACACTTTAAATTCATCCACTTGGCAAATAGACATTATCCCAACTGGATTCCAAAAAAAAGTATTTTACACTGTTGGCCACACATTCTCGCTTTTATCAACTGCTCACTGTCTACTAGCAGTCTACTCACTGTCATTGTCTACTAGTCTAAATACAATGATTCTCTGGTTTTGAACAACTTTAGACGCATCTCAAATCTACTTTTTTTTTATCGTAAATTTTAGAAAAGTGTGTTACCTCTCAGTTGATCTCACACAAGAACAATAGTAATATTTTTGAGAAATTTCAATCAGAATTCCATGCCAAGCACAGCACTGAAACAGCTCTTCTTAAAATTACTTATGATCTTCTGCCACCTGCTGATTCCAGGCCAGCTTAATTTTATTTTTGCTTGATTTGAGTTCTGCATTTGATACAGTCAATCACAGTCAATCAAATACAGTCAATCTTTTTAAACCTCATTTAAAATTATGGTGGAAATAAGGGCACTGCACTTGCTTTTTTTCAGTCCTACTTATCTAAGATATCTTTTTCTTTGGTAATGGGAGAATTCACCGCATTGCCAGCCCCCCTTCATGTGGTGTGCCCCAAGGGTCGATTCTTGGTTCTGTGCTATTCATGCTACATATGCTCCCCCTGGGTGAGATAATCTGTAGGCATAATGTTAATTGTGTGCTTGCTTCAGTGAAGCAGCACACTCTATTCTCTTTCTTTAACTTTTTTACCTATTTTTAACCTTAGTCTTTTTAGCAATCAGATTCCAAAAGTTTGGAAAACTGCCTTCATTCTTCCTCTGCTTAAAGGGGGGAATCCCTCTATTGTAAATAATTACAGACCAATTTCCAAATTATGTATTTTGGCAAAGGTATTTGAAAAACTTGTTAGCGCTCAACTCAAGAAATTTTTAGATGCAAATGACATTTTATCCAAATATCAATCTGGTTTTAGGAAACAACATAGCACTGTTACTGCTACTCTCAAAGTAATTAATGACATCATTGGGGCAAAAGACTGCAAAAAAAATTGCTTGGCACTATTTATTGATTTATCTAAAGCATTTGATACCATTGACCACAGTATATTGATCAGTATCCTTCATCGCACTGGCATATCTAACCATGCAGCATCTTGGTTTGCCAACTATTTGTCTGATAGAATGCAATGTGTTCAAATGGCTGGATCTACCTTCTCTTTTCTTACAGTTTCAAAGGGTGTACCACAAGGTTCAGTTCTGGGGCCAATATTGTTCCCCATCTACAGTATGTTAAAGGTGACATAGAATCAAAAACCGGGTTTACCTTGTCTATGTTGAATAATGGTAGTCTACCAGCATTCAAGAACATACGAAAAGTGCTAGACATTCTGACCATCTCCGTTTCGTAGAAATTCCTCTTTTAAAAATGACCGCCAGAAAACGGGCCAATCTGAACAACGCATACATATGATATCATATGTATCTCACTGCCCCCCCCCTCTCATTTCATTTCCTCCCCTTCAAAATAATTTGCATACACCCGCTCTCCCGCCCCCTACGGAAAGTAAATTGCAGCAGTGTTCGTGAAGTTCAAGGCGAAATGGCGAGTCGGGTACCAAGGTGTGCTCTTCCAGGCTGTGGAAGCAGCGTGCAAACGTTCCATAACCTTCCAACCGAAAGAAATGTACGAATGCGTGGCTGCTGTTCATTTTTAATTGGATTCCCACTACATTCAACCACAGACTGTTACTTTGCTCAGCCCATTTCACCTCTGACAGTTTTACTAACCTGGCACAATTTCAAGCCAGCTGCTCGCAACGTTTGGTGCTACGTAGCGGAGCAGTTTTTACTTTGCGTCTACCTCAACTACCAGTACAAACTATAAGTATCACGTTGTTGTTAGATTGTTTTTAAAATGTTAAAAATAGAATATATTCGTTTTGCCCCTCTAGCCAATGTCGTATGACGTGATTATCACTCAACAACGGCTTTGAAACAAGATCTGAAATAAATCCGTGAAGATTGTTGTTGCCAATGATCCTGCCATGCTCACATAAGGATGATGGGAGGTTGGCATCTGTGCCTTTAGTTTGTGAAGATGTTTCGCCTGGTGTGTCAACACCAAAACATGAAAGTAGCAGAGATGCCAAGTCTCACGCATTCGGCGGGGGTCTAGCGCATTTTTTAGGATTATTCGCTGTAGTCCGCTATTATTCAATGAATGCTTATTAATGAGATTCTCAAACGGAATTAAAATCCTTGTGCCTTGAAGTTTCAGTTTCACTTGCGTAAAGGTGAATTTCAGCGTAAGTAACATGGAAAGCGATTATGACTTGCTTCGCTTTAGGCAGCAAAGCCAGCCAATCAGCGTCAAGCGCTTGCATTTCATAATGAGGTTGCCAGTTAAGCCCGAAAGGTCGCCAAATAGGTGCAAAACAACGCGCTCAAAATCCCCCACCCTAACATAGCTTTTTGAGAGAGGTTTTTAGGAAGCTTCTGAGGCATTACAGACCCAACCAAAATTTTGTTGCGTATATGTCACATCACAGAACAAGGATAAATACCCCGTTCAACCATTCTA